TTAAAGTTTGTAGACTATAAAGTCATATAGTACTGTTAAGGCTTCTAGTAAATGAGAATGGTCTCAGGCTAGAGAAATGGCTCAATGATTAAGAGCACTAGCTACTCTTCCAGAGGTCCTGAGTTCAGTTCCCAGCAAGTACATGGTGGCTCACAACCATCTGTAATGGAATCTGATGCCTTCTTCTGGTATACAGGTATACATGTAGGCAAAGCAAACATATACATAAAATAAAAATAATAAATAAATAAATAAGATGATTTTAGGCAGGAAGGGAGTGGGGAGAGGAAGATAGAGGGAGGTAAGGAGGGAGGGAGAAGAGAAAACAGTCTCCTTACAACTTATTTTCAAGTCCCAGATTCAGAATCACCTGTTTCTTGCCCATTTTAGTATAGCAATATATATTGATGCCTGTATGAAAAAAAGATTTAGTTCTATTGGAACTATTTCCACTGGTAGAAAAGTTGCATGTTCTACTTTTGTCTTGATTTTTACCTCTTCTGCTTCATCTTCTTGTTTTATTTTGTTTTGGTTATGGTTTGGGGGGTTGTCTGGTTTTGTTTTTTGAGATAGGATCTCACTGAGTAACTCTGGCTGTCCTGGAACTCATTAGGTAGACCAGGATGGCTTTGAACTCTCAGTGATCCACCTGCCTCTGCCTCCCGCATGCTCTGCCTATATTGTTTTGTATTAATAGTTTAGCCATCTTATTTTAACACCAAACTAAACACTGCTTTTTGATTAATATATTTACCCATATGATTAACAGTTTATTTCTAATCAATCTTGTATAATTTCTTTCTATGATCATTTTTTCTTAATTAAATGCTCCATTAAAATATTCTCCTCTGGATTTGTCTCACATTCACCACATTCCCTGGACTTTCTTGCGGTTAATCCCATTTAGTGTGCGTTTTTTTTTTTTTATCTCAAACATTTTAATTTTTATCAATAAAAGTTCAATTTGTTTTGGCTTTTGGTTTTGGTTTTTGGTCTTGGGGGTCTTGTTTCCAAGACAGGGTTTCTCTGTATAGCCCTAGCTGTCCTGGAACTCACTCTGTAGTCCAGGCTGGCCTAGAACTCAGAGATTTGCCTAACTCTGCCTCCTAAGTGCTGGGATTAAAGGTATGGGCCACCATCACCTGACGTTGTTTTGTTTGTTTGTTTGTTTGTTTGTTTAGATACTTTCCAAGTTAAATGAATTTTGTTGTTACTGTTGTTTGGCTTTGTTTTCTGTGTTTGAGACCAGCTCTCACTAGATAGCCTTGGCTAACCTGGAACTCACTATTATAAACCAGACTATATTTGGAACTTGTAGCAATTTACCTGCCTCTGTCTTCAAGTGCTGAAGATTACAGGTTTGTGCCACGCACATCTAGTTTAAGTAAACTATTTGATCATGTCAAAATACAGCTTCACAGTGTCTGCTAATTCTAACATCAGTATCATTTCTGGATTTGTTTTGATTGATTTTTAAGATATATTTGTTAATTTTTTGAGAATTTCATGCTATGTAGTTTATTTACCCCAACTCCTCCTTTTAACGCCTCCCAAATTTACTTCTATTAAGCTTTTCCCTCATTTTTGTGTCTTCTGTCTCTTTTCAAAATAACTTAGTGAATCCAATTCATGCTGTTCATGTATATACTGCGGGGTATGCCAACAGCCAGTGGAGCATGGCCAACCTACCAGGGGCCACTCTTTAAAAAAAAACTGACTCTTCCTCCTGTGGCACCATCACTTGTCTGTAGCTTATCAGTTATGAATCCTCTCCCCTCCTTGCTAACTTGTTGACTAGCTGGATCTTCTGTGGGTCTTTTGCCAGCAGCCACAGCTGCAATGAGTTCATAAGTACAACATTCCTGTCGTCCTGTCCTCCCTTACCCCCACTCTTACTGTTGCTCTTTACAACTTCTCTTCTATAGTGGTCCCTGAGTATTGGAGTGGGGGGTGTGATACAGTGTTCTAATTATGCTAGAGCATTCCATCGACAACATATTCTCTGCATTTTGACTAGTTGTGTGTTCCTGCTTTTGCTATCATCCACTGAACATCTCTAATGAGGTCTGATAGCAGTACTAATCTGTGGCCAGAGAGAGCGGTGGATTTAGAAGGCAGTTTGATTGACTCTGTCCATTTAGCAGAGTAAGTGTCGGTTCATTCCTAGGACCTGTGACTTCCCCAACCATGGGTCCTTGGCCAAATTGGCAATACCAACCATGCATTTTCTCCTGTGGAGCAGGCTTTAATAAACTCTACCAGAAAGTGACTGTTTACCCCATAACAATTGTATCACCATTGGACCCGTGAGCATATCTCACCATAGTGTTTATTGTTACAGTTCACAGGTTCTCAGCTGGGGGAGACTGTTGACTTGTTTACCCAACAGCTTACATAACACCTTCCAGTACTATGAAAGCCATTGGGAATGAAGCTCTCTGCTCAGTACCAACTTGATTTATCCATATCCTGTGGCCTGTGGGTGTGGTGTCTTCATCAGTAGGGTCTTACCATTAAGTCCTAATAGCCAACCAAGAGCAATTCAATATTGTGTATTGCTTTGAGGGTCTCTGGGATACCTCTGACCAACAATTCAAAGGGAAGTATCACATACCTGCCACTGGGCTTTTTATTTGGCAATATATGCCCTTGCCAAAAATTCCCTGTGTAGGGTAACTAACTAAATGCTTATACAATGACCAAATATCCTCAGTGCTAATTATAAACAGTGCATCCCTCTTTACAGTCTCTTCCTTGTTTTTAATTTTGCTTTCTTCATCCTCTCAGTCAAAATTTTAACATACTCTATAGCATCCTTATTTTTTTTAGTGTGTTGTTTCTTCTGGACAGTACTTAAACATTTATGTTGCAGGACACGTAGAATAGCTAGACACTGAATCATGGATGCTTTGGTCCTGGGCTTCTGACCGTTGTTTAAGGATTTTCTGGCAATACCATGAGACAGAAAAGCTTATGGATTCTGCCAGCCTATGGATTGAAGTGAACAGTTCAATCTGAATACATTCTTTCCTTTTTTTTCCCCTCTGTTTTTCAATAATCAAGGTGAGACCACTGAGACTGGCATCTTTTTAAATGGATGAAGCCAAGTTCTACCAATATAATACTACTGCCACCTTCCACAAAGTAATTATAAAATTCTTCAAAACTGTAAAGATATTTTAGAAGGAGTAGCCTTTTGGTTTTTTTTTTTTTTAGATGTAATATCATGAAATTTTTTTAAATTTTGATATATTTATATTTGCTCCTGTACCTGCATATAGCATGTATTTGGAAGTCAGAGGACAGACACCCTATGAGAGCTGAATCTTTCCTTCTGTCCTGGAGATCAAATTCAGTCATCAGGCTTGGTAACAAGTGGCTTTACCCCCTGAGCCATCTTGCTAGCCCTCAAGAACTGAATTTTGTTATAATATTTAACATTCTTGGGATGGCCAAATGTATGCACATACTAAATCACTAATGGAAGTATCTGTATAAATCTTATTTAATAAACTAAGTTCATAAAATAAGAATAACTGATTACATTTTTAATATAAGTGGTATAATAGTGTAAACTCTTAGCCAAAACCATAAAATAGGATTAGTCTATAAAAGAAACTCCTGATATTTGTCAATGTTGGTTTTTTTTTTTTAAACTGCATTTTTGTCTTAAAAGATTACAGTTGCTGAAAGTTGGAATTAATTCTTCCTGTCTGTGTTCTGGTATTTTCTGGCTGCTTTTTACAGTCCTTTTTGCTGGTCTCTCATGATTATTGTTTCACTTGGTACTTCTATTAAATTGACTTTTTGGTTTCTACAAATGAGTGAAAACTTGTAACCTTTGTCATCTGATTTTGGTTTGTTTTACTTACATAATAATTTCCAGTTCCATCCATATTGCTAATAACAGAAAATAATTCCTTTAGTGTCTTAAGTAATATGTCATGTATGTTACCACATTTTTCCTTATCTGTTTATCTGTGATGGGCATCTTGGCTCATTTTATATATAGGCTTACCAGTCTATATAATTTTTTAATATAAGTAATATAATTTTTGTGTGTTTGTGGTATGTGTACATATGCCTGTGGGTGTATGATATTTGCAAGTACATGTGTGTAGAGACCAGAATTCAATATCAGATGCCTTTCTCTATCTCTGTCCCCTAATTTTTTTCAGGCAGGACTGTCAAGTTAGTTAACTCCTTGTACCCTCACCCTCCACACACAAACACTGGACTCAAAGTGTGTACATAACACTGTTCCCAGCTTTTGCATGGGTGTTAGACCTTGAACTCACAGCCTCATGCTTATGCAGCAGGCACTTTACTAATATCTCCTACAGTTTCTTTATAGTCTGGTTTTTTTTTTTTTGTCTAATAAAGCTCCATGTAACAATAACAAGCATATAACTTTTGCTTAAACTATCTTTATTGTTGTTTTATTATTGTTATTTACTGTAACCTTTCTCTTTTTTTGAGGCAGTATTTCTGATATTCCCGGTTGATTTCATACTCATTATATAGCCAAGAATGGCCTTGAGCATCAGTTTTTATACAGTAATGGGGATCAAACTCAGAACTTCTTACAAAGTAGACAGACACTCTATATGTGTGTGTCTATACTCACAGCCCCATTACTGTAATTTTTTGGAAATGAAGTAATGTAAAAATATAAACTTTTTTTTTGCTTTTATATGAAGTCATAGTATAGAAATAACTACACTCAAAATTTACTGTGTTTTATTAGCTAAAGTAGATATACATTGTAAGATGAAGTTTCACCCTGGAGATGGTGTTAGTGATAGTTCTCCTTTAGTAAAACTGAGGATATAGGGCTATATGTATCTCCTTAAGGGAATTGAGGGACAACATACTTTTAATGGGGCACTTTTTACTAATGTGGAAAAGTAGAACAGATGTCTTATTGATTGAATATAAATATAACTTTAAAATTTCAGTGTTTTGTGCTTTAAGTAATAGCAGTATTCAATTTTGTTTAGGCTTCGGGAGCAAGAAAAAAAAGAAGCAGAAGAAGCTTGCCAAAAGGAAGTAGAAGAGTGGGAAAGAAAGCTCCTTGCTCAGGCAGCTCCAGCCTGCATGGAGAACATGTGGGAAATCCCAGCCATTGGGCATTTCCTTTGTTTAGCCCAACAGATTCTAAACTTGCCAGAAATTGTCTTTTATGAACTGGAACGCTGTCTTCTGATGCCTCAGTGTAATGCCTTTCTATCTAAAATAATGACTTCTCTACTGAGCCCTCCTCATCGCAGACCTACCTTACATCGAAGACCTACTTTGCCTTATAGGACTTGGGAAGCAGTGCTGAGACAGAAAGTGCAGCAGTGGTACACTGCTGTGGGGCAGACTGAGAACCCTGATAACTGTGCTGAGAAACTTGGCTTGTGTCCTCAGTTTTTTAAGGTTCTTGGAGAAGTTAATCCATTGGAAGAAAGACCTTTTCACGAGCTACCTTTCTACCAGAAAGTATGGCTACTTAAAGGACTTTGTGACTTTGTGTATGAAACACAGAAAGAAGTTCAAGACGCTGTGCTTGGGCAGCCTATTCATGAGTGCAGGGAGGTTATCCTTGGTTATGATTATCTGGAAAATGCTTACGTACATTTTCCACAGTTCTGTGGTGCAGATGTGCGAATTTATAAACAAAGACCCTTTCAGGCCCCAGAATTTCCAGTTCCACCCATTAAAGTAAAAAGAGTACCTCGGATTAAACTGGAGAAATTCAAGTGTGACTATGTTAATACAAGTAACGGAGAACACAGATGTAATAGAGAAGGCCTGCCTTTGGCTTTCAAGAAAGAGCAGGAAATTGATTTTGATCCAGCCTGTTGTCCTGCTAAAATGAACTTTGATAATCATGACATCACTGTTGAAATGGAAGTAAAATCCAACTGTGACATTAAAGTTCACAGGCCTTGTGAAATTGAAAAAACTGATTGTTGTAAAGAAAATTTGCAGAAACCCAGAAGTCCAGGAGAAGTTACTGGCTTTGGAGAGCCGCTCAGTCCAGGTGAAATAAGGTTTATAGAAAATCAGGAAAAATACAGTGAAGCTTCCAAAATAAAGACAGAATCCAATCCATTGAAAGAAAATGCTCTAAAATCTTGCCAAATTCATATAAATGGAAGTCACATCGAGCATCCAGACATTAACTGCCACAAAGTTGTAAGGGATATATTGTTAGAGCACTCACTGCAGAGCCACAAGAAACTCAAACTAACTAAAATGAGGGCAAAAAAGAAGAAAAAGAAAAAAAAGAAATTGAAAGATGTTTTGAATGAAAATTTACAAAGAAAGCGTGAAGGTCTTCATTCTCTTCCCTTCAAGTCTTACAAACCTGATATCCAGAATAAATTATTGATCATCAAAAAGAAAGGAAAACACAAGAAGCACAAATCTGGTAAGATTACTTAATGGGCAAGATTTATATTTAAGTGTAATTCATATTTTCTTTCAATTCTGTATCATGGACGCTCTGATTGATAGCATGAAGTGAGTATGTGTACTTATGTGTGTGAGGGTCAAGCTTTATTTCACATGGTTAAAAACCCAGGACAGGTGAGATTTCTATATACTCACAAAAAACTAGTATAATACATCTGAATAACTCTCAATTTGACATATATGAATATTACACGTCTATATTTTTTCCTGTAAATTATGTTTTATCACTTACATTAAGTGATTTTTTTTTCTTCCAAGCTAAGGACAGCACAATATAGATGCTCATTTCTTTATCTAGAGTAACATATTGAGTAACACTTGAGTCTGAACTTATTCCCCATATCACATATTTCTTTAGCACTTGGTTTTCAGTATATATTTTCACATCTAGGAAAAAAACGGAGACTGAGAATTATGTCAACTAATAAAATACAAAATATAAAGTGTGTACTTATAGAAGGATTTGTAAGTGTATCTTTTTGCTCAATTTAAGTACTCTATATATCTGCCAGCAGCCTATTCTGTGCTGATTGATTGCTTTTTAAGGGATTCTGTTGCTTTTGCTTTTTCTACTATCTGTTATAAGTTTGTGTCTCATTTGCCACAAATGAGACACAAAACGATTTGTGGTCCAGCCAGCATTGAGGGTCTCATTTTCACTCCTCCTCATAGCCGCTACTGAATCCCCAGATGAAGGAGTAACCTTTTAGTTATTGAAATAATTAAATAGAACTCAGTACATTCTATAACACGTATGTAATAAATTATTAAGTACAAGGCAGAAAGATGTTGACAAGCAAAAGCTCTTGCCACCAAGCATGATGACCTGAGTTATATGCACACACATGCACATACATACACACATACATGAAGGGGGTTAGGGGTACACACAATAGATATAAATTTTTAAAGAAGTAATATAATATTTACTACCAAAACCAGGCCCAGCTTCTTATACTAGAACTTCAAAATTGGTTCTTATTGACCTAATTTTTTAAAGTAACTCAGAAATAAACCTTTGTATGAAAGTTTACAAAGAATGTGTGAAGGTCTTTATTCTCTTACTTTCAAGTCTTACAAAACTGAGATATAATGATACTACATCAGATGTTATAAGAATAAAACATTTGTTTTACATCATTTCATGCCACTTATTTTGTACATTTTTATTAGATGTTGAAGCAACATGTCCTTTTATAGTTGAGTTTCTCCCATACTCGAGTCCAACACTTCCTTTGTTACACATTTTAGAAAGTGAGTTTCATGGTCATAGATTTGACAAGGTTTCCTCTTACTGTGTTTTAGTATAGGTTCATAGTGCATTCTGGGAAACTCCTATCACATTTATTTTGAAATTTAAAAAATTTTCAGATTTTACAGGAATATTATCTAGTATTAAATAACATCCCTGATAGGGCTTGTGGGTGGTTAGATCAAATGAAATGAAAATTGTTTTTAAAAGCTTATAATAGTTCAGAGATGATTTTTTTAAATCATATAAATGATTTTAAAATTATTTTCAGGCAAAATTTTAGATAATTTATTTGGGGCCTGTATATTAGCAATTCTGGAAAACTTTAAAGGAAAGAAAATAATTTTGATTAGTATAGTATTTTATTCAGATTTATTTTGATACATAACTTTTCAAGTAATGGATAGCTCATGTGCTTTATAGAGCATACTTTGGGATAAGCTATGTCATCCATGACTGATTTATGAATATGCACTTAGAGTGGACTAAATTCTACATGTGGTTATCTGATTCACAACATATTGATTACTGCACACTTTAAATTTTAGACATTTCTAAATTTTAATTAAACTTATTGTGACAGGAGATGATTTTTTAATAGAAGGTACAAAGTCAAATCGATTTGAATGATTTGATAATTTTAGTGCACTGTGATCCAGTTTTGTAATTTTTAAACATTTTATCAGCTTTTTAGAGTTGGTTGTTTATTTCTGTTTTCTAAATTGTGGTTTCGTTTTTTTTTTTAGTCATTTATGCCTTTTACCTCTTTCATTTATGCCAAGCAAGTAGGACTCACTGAAAATAGAGATAATTTTTTATATTTATTTTATTTTTTGAGATTTTTATACATGATTATGTAGAAAATTTGTGCACATCATTTCCACTCTACACTTTTCCTGTGTCCCCCTGTCCCTTTCAACTTCACAGCCTTGTCTTTAATTCCCTTTGTTGCACACACACACGCGCACACACACACACACACACACACACACACACACCCTGCTCAGTCCATTAAGTACTTCTGAAGGCCCTGCCACTAGAAGAAAAGAGTTGCAGGCAATTAATTGCTGCTAAGAAGGAGAATCAGTCTTTTCCAGAAATGAGCCTCATGCCTGCCTCCACTGATAAATTATCCAGTCATAACTGACCAACTGTAAACACACACTCATGTAACACTAAATATTTTTTCAGAGGAAAAAAATACTAAAGTTTAAAAAAAAAAGACAGATTATTCTTTTTTTTTTAATGTGCATTGATGTTTTGCCTGTATGTATGTCTCTATGAGGGTGTCAGATCCCTTGGAACTGGAGTGACAGGCAGTCGTGAGCTGCCATGGGTTTGCTGGGAATTGAATGGGGATCCTCTGGAAGAATAGCTCTTGCTCTTAACCACTGAGCCATTTCTCCAGCCATGGCAGATTCTTTTTAAAGAATTAAAAACTATTAATTATTGCTATTAGCAGAAATGCAAAAGCAGTGCATTTTCTATCTTCTATTAAGTAGAAATTAATTTTTAAAAAAGATTCCTTATGCTGGGCGGTGGTGGCGCACACCTTTAATCTCAGCACTTGGGAGGCAGAGGCAGGCGGATTTCTGAGTTCGAGGACAGCCAGGGCTACACAGAGAAACCCTGTCTCGAAAAAAACCAAAAAAAAAAAGATTCCTTACGTCATTCCTTTATCATTTCCTTAAGGAAACTTCCCATTATTTTCTAAGTTTTCTTTTGTACATAGTTAGAACACTAGGCATTTCTTTATAATAATTAACTAATAGTGATATTCGTTTCTGGTATAGTTTGATGAGTACTCTAACATTATTGAGGACTGAAAGATTTAGGGTTTTGCATCCCTAATACCATGTTTAAGTATCTGTGAAGTAGCCAAATGGTGGTAGAGCCTTCCAGCACTTAGTAGGCAGAGGCAAGCGAGTCTGCAGACAGCCTGGTCTGCTGAGTAGGTTGCAGGACAGTCAGGGAGGGCTACATGGAGAAGCCCTGTCTTGAAAAATCAAAAGAAAAAGAAAAAAAAGAAAGAATAAATAAATGTTTAATAAATGAACATTATGATTCCCCCATATAAATCCAGTATTAACCTCTTACTATGTATCTTTTCAATTTATTTATTTATTTATTTATTTATTCATTTATTATGTATATAGTGTTGTGTCTCCATATATGTCTGCACGCCAGAAGAGGGCATCAGAACTCTTATAGATGAGCCACCATGTGGTTGCTGGGAATTGAACTCTGGAAAAGCAGCTAGTGCTCAACCTCTGAACCATCTCTCCATCTCCTTTGTATCTTTTATATTGTTTTAACACATATATTTGTAATAGGACCAAAGTAAACATACCTTTTTATGCTTTATATTATTCTCACCTTACAAAATACATTAACACCTGTGTGCAATAGATAGATCTTTGTTGCATCGTTTTAAATGTCTATTTAGGATTTTGTATTTTGAAGTTAATAACATACCTTCCTTGATAGACGTTTTGGTTGTTTTAGTATTGTTACAGATGGTGTGAAACAAATAGCTCAAATTAATTTAAAACATAAAGATGCATTCACAGTAATAAAAGACTTATGTTATTCATTTAAGTTAGTTTTAGTTTAAAGAAGTTCTCCTCCTCAGTAGTCATTCTTTTCAAGCAGATCATTTCATGGTCCCTCTAAACTGATCTAACTAGATAAGGCCAAGCAGTCTCAGTTTCTTATAGGTTAAGAAACTATGGTCAGCAAGATGGCCCAGTTGAGTGAAGGCTCTTGCTGCCAAGCCTGATGACCCGAGTTCATTCCTGCTACCCAATTGTGTGTGTGTGTGTGTGTGTGTGTGTGTGTGTGTGTTTGTATTTTGTTTGACACAGAGTCTCACTATAGTTCTGGCTTGTCTATGTAGCCCAGGCAAGCCTTGAACTTGAAGAGATTCACCTACCTTTGACTAACGAGTACTGGGACTAAAGGCATGTGCCACCATGCCTTGCTAACTTAAAAAAATAAAATTAAGTTCAAAGCTGGTATATGGATCTGTAGAGATTGCTCAACTATTAAGAGCACTTGCTATTCTTGCCGAGGACCTGAGTTCAGCTCCTAGCACCCACAAGGAGCTCACAACCATCTGCAGCTTCACTTCCTCTGGCCTCTGCTGGCACCAGGTGCACTATAGTATATGTAGTATACATGCAAACAAAAACTTATAAGAATAAATAAATCTGATAAGAACTGATAAACACCCTTTTCAATTTAATAAGGCCATATAATAAAAAATAGGAAAACTCAGTATATGCCATGGGAAGATTTCACAAAGAATGAAGGACTTTGAAGAATAAGTAGGCTTAAATAGTAAAAATTGATTAATACCATGGGCAAAAACATAGTTATAATTAACATAACTAGTTTTTAAAAATATTGGATTAAGATCCCAAGAGCAAATGAATGAGCATGATATAAGATGTGCCAGATATATAAAAAGCAGTTTATAGGAAATACCTGAAAATAATATAATTTATAATATTTAGTTACTTCCAGGGCCATATTTGTGAGAAGTTTGAAGAATTCTATATTGATAGCACCTAGAACCTAATTATGCATCTTCATGAAACGTATTTTTAGAACACCAACTACAGACTTCGAGTGAAAGAATTCGCTGTCTTATCAGTTTATTGTTATAATTTTGCAGTGCTGGGAATGGAGTCCAGGTCTTTATG